GTGTGACCCTGGGCAAGTCACTTAACCCCAATTGCCTAAAAAAAAAAAAAGATTCCAGAGATCTGTAAGTTTTCAGTTTTTCCAAGGTGGTATAGTCTAAAAGAGGTGTTTACTCCTCTCCTGGACTGTTTTCTGGTCTGTGAGCGACCACAAGCATTCTTTTCTGCTCTGGAACTGTGAGGAGGGTCTCCCATTCACTGTGGCTGCAAGCTCTCCTATGGTAATGCTCTTCCTCACCCTGGGACTGCCACCCAGGACTGCGACATGAGTCTGAGTATGGGCACAGCAACAGAGTCCTGCCTCAGTGCTAGCAGCAAGACCCCTGTAATCTCCTTTTGACCATTCATTTGACCCCCTTACCACCTGTGGTCTGAGAGCTCTGTAAGCCGCCACTGCCACTACTGATTCAGTCATTCCCAAGGCCTGTTCCTGGTTTGCTGTGGCTGTGCCGGTGCAGCCTATACTGGACTGTGCTCCACTCTCGCCCAGATGCGACAGACCTTTCCTGCCAACCTTCCAAGTTGTCTTGGGCTGGAAATTTGTTTCACTCTGTCTTTTTGTGGGTTCTGCTGCTCTGGAGTTTGTTTAGAGTCATTTTCTAAAGGTAGTTGGAAGGGTTTGGGGGAGAGCTCAGGTGAGTCCCTGCCTTTACTCTACCATCTTGGCTCCACCTCCAAGCTTTGGTCTGTTGCAATTGTTTTCTAATTGAACCTCCCAATTTTTAGTCTCTTTTCTCTCATAGGTGTCAAGCTCAGATAGATATAAATCCCTGTAGCCTCGTACTTAGAAAACACAAGTTAACATTGTCTGTATTGCTTTGTATTTTTATTGATTTTGTTTAACATTTCCCAATTACATTTCAATCTGGTTCTTGGGAATTCTGAAGTTTGTGTGTGAGTTTGACTTTTGACTTTTCTCTACATCTTCTGAAATAACCTTTCTAAATCACAGGTCACTTTTTTAATTGCTTTAGTATACCATTTCACTGTATATCAAATTATTTGGATTGTTTTATATTTGAAAAATATGTGAAAAAAATAAATTTAAAATTTATATTGTTCAATTGAATTTTTTGCCCTGATTTCACAATATTTCAGAGAAAAGGCAAGCATGGTTATCCCTGAAGAAAGAGAAGGCAGAGATGAAACAAACTTAGACCTGGTAAGGGAAGCTACCTCTGCACAGGCTTCTACTGACACTCGCAAAGCAGGTGAGTTCTTACCATCTGCAGATCAGTGTCTTATGCCTTCAGATAAGCTTATTTGTATGCATTTGTCATTTATAAGCCCTTTGTAAGTTGGAGTTACATGTACATGATCTCCAAAGTTCTTTCCAATTTCAAAGGTCTGGGATTCTCTTTTCCAGTCACTTTTGACAATCAAGCCCCGTTATGTCTGGCAGTAAAATTAAATTAGGCTAACTGGTGAGAAGTAGAGCAGGGATATGCAATGTAGCTCTATTTCTGAAAAATTTTATGTAGGAAACATCATACTGCCATGCATCTAATTTGGGAAACTATAATGTATTTTTTTAAAATCCTGGAAATTTATTAATAGACGTTGGTAAGAACTCTTTCCAGACAGTAATCATAGTTGAACAAAAGAAACATTAGTTTTAACTTTTAATCCTTTTTTAAGCATGTATCTTTTTTTAATGACATCATTCTAAATACCTGTATTCATTTCATAGGTGGCCAGGAAAAGACTAATTTGCAACAAAGTGTAATTGTGGACATGCGAGAGTTTCGAAGTGAACTTCCATCTCTGATTCATCGTCGAGGCATTGACATTGAACCAGTTACTTTAGAAGTTGGAGATTACATCCTTACTCCAGAAATATGTGTGGAGAGGAAAAGTATCAGTGATTTGATTGGTTCCTTAAATAATGGTCGTCTCTATAGTCAGTGCATCTCCATGTCTCGATATTATAGGCGACCAGTACTTCTGATAGAGTTTGATCCCAGTAAACCTTTCTCTCTTACTTCTCGAGGCTCTCTACATCAGGAGATTTCCAGCAATGATATAAGTTCCAAACTTACTCTTCTTACTCTTCATTTCCCAAAACTTCGTATCCTTTGGTGCCCCTCACCACATGCAACTGCTGAGTTGTTTGAGGAGTTGAAACAGAACAAGCCACAGCCTGATGCGACAACAGCCATGGCTATCACAGCAGATGCTGAAACCCTTCCTGATTCAGAAAAATACAATCCTGGACCCCAAGACTTCTTATTAAAAATGCCAGGTGTCAATGCCAAAAACTGTTGTTCTTTAATGAATCACGTTAAGAGCATTGCAGAATTAACAACTTTGTCACAAGATAACCTCTCAGATATTCTCGGAAATGCTGCAAATGCTAAGCAGCTTTATGATTTCATTCATACCTCCTATGCAGAAGTTACAGCTCAGGAAAAAGTTAAGAAGTAAAATTTTAGAGGTGGCTTATTTTGATCACATAACCATAGTCTTTGTTGTCTTTTATCATAATAGCCTTCACACTCTCATTTCTTTAACTCAACCTTTCATTGTTTTCCATTGTAGTCAGTGGAACAGAAATCTTAGAATTTCAAAGCTGGAAATCATCTAGTCTAAGCCCTTCAATTTACCTCTAAGGTAAATGCCCAGAGAGGGAAAGTGAGCTATCTGGAATCAAACAGCTAGTTAGTAGCAAGAACTAGAACCAGAGTTCTAATCTCCTGACTTGAAGGCCAGTGTTCTTTCAATTATACCACCTTGAGATCCTTCTGATGCATCATGGGAGTCTTTTTAAAGCTGCCAACTTTGCTCCCTCTTCCCCCTTTGGGATATTAGCACAGTTAAAAATGAAGTATATCATGGTGTCCATTTAAATTTCTTTAACTGTTTGTGGAAGAAGGAATTTTGTTTTAATGAATTGAAATTTGTGCATCTAAAAGTTTGATGAAATACATATAGTCCAGTTTTCTTCTACTGGCTGTACAAAATATACCAGTGTGTCATGAAGAACTCCAGAGGGAAGGGAATCACCTTTTGCCATTCCTGTCCAATTTCCTACCCTCAATGTAAAAGCATTGGAAGATTTACCTCAGCTGATTGAAGAGTGCAACAGGTAGGAGAATTATTAGCCTGATGAATTTCTAATTAGGAGAATATATGTGATGTTTGGCTAATAACTTTCTTATAATATAAAGTAAATTGCCTATTTGCAGAATTTAGCAGTGTTGATGAAGCTTTAGAATTTTGCTTCTTTGAAGATCCTTAGTCCCCTGGGCTCCTGGGTTATCAGAGCCCTAAATTCTAGTCTTTAAAAGCTTTTTCTTTCTTTTACCCTCCTACATATGTTTTAAGATTACTATCTATATAACACCCCAAAATACTTTTTGAGCTCATTTCTGATCTGTTCACTTCCACATTTTGTGCAGTTCTGGGATTACAGTGCTAAGTCTACATCCTGATGTGAGGTCTGGATTACATGCAAATGAGTGGCTAACTAAGTTGATGAGGTTTTATTTTTTATAGTTGAGTTTTATCCAAAAACATTGCACAAGAATTAGTAAGTAGGAAAGTAATCTAGGCTTTACACACTTTTTAAAATCATAAACTTTTGTAGAAAAAAGAGTCAGGTTTATGCCTCTTTTGTGAGTAATCTGGTTTATTTATATTGAAGACTTAAATTCCGTTACTTAAATTGTCTATAATAGAAACAATCTGTAATAATCTGGTTGTTGTCAGTGAATTTTCTGCTCATAGCTGAAATGGACTGACTTTGACTTCTACAAAATTAAAAGGCAGTCCATGTGGCAAAGTTTACATTCTTGTCTGTGGGAATCAGTTTTTTTGTCACACAACCTAGAATAAGAAAGCATTGCACACAACTGTATAAATTTATTTGTAAATGCTATTTATATATTATTTCAACAATACTTTTGATCTGTTATTGAAATTTAAATGTGCTATAGTATAAAGACTATAATAGTGTACTTTTTAGTTGAATTCAGTGATTATCATTAGTTACATTAGTTGTGATTACAAAATTGAGAGGTGATTTGGAGTGGTAGGACAAGGTATGTGTAAGAAAATCATTTTAAAACACACAAAATTCTAAGCTTTTTTGCTCGTTTCAAAAATCTAACTTGCTATAAATTTTCTGAATAAAAATGTTAACATGAAGCATTTTCCTAAGTAATCATCTTACATTCACATTTATATTCACTTTATTTTTGGAAGAGAGTTCAAAACCATTGAATATTCATTAAAATAGAATAAGTTCTTTTTGAAGATGCCAAGTTTTAAACTATCCCTTGTCTAGTATATCTCAGATAGCGTTCTTAGAGTTTATTAATATTCTTTTCTCTTAGCACTCTGACATTATTATTCACTTTTGTACATGATAGATATTTAAGGGCTATAAGTCTCTTTCATGAGTATTTGAGGTGTAAAAGATTTATTATCAACGAACCTTAAAATAGCAATCATTACTGACACATCCTTAATCCTGAAGGTTAGGAGATATTTAAATACAAACTCTGTGTTCTCTACTAGTCCAGGGAAAGGAGAAGATTAAGTCATGGTGCAAAATGGCTTAATATCTGAGTATAGAATTTATGAAAGGTCATAATCATAAGATGAGTGTTCCAGAACAGTTCGGGAAGGCTATGGAGTAGAGACAAAGGTGTAGGGGAAATTTGTAAATTATTTAATGTGGTTTTGGTTCAAAAACTTTTTAGAAAAATTGTTTTATGTATGTGTATTCTTTTTAACATGAAGAAAATTCTTTAGAAATGTGACATTTTAGAGAGGAAGGAGCCTTTTCACAGATTTAAATATCTTGACTGAAGTTTATCTGAGTTTTAGTAATCAATATCACAAGAAGTTGATTTTTTTTTCATTGTATTTTAGTTCATATTTACTCTCTGATGCTAAACTTCGGGTACCTGATGTATAATCATCATAGTAGGCCAGACATTAGGATAGCCTATGAAGTGCTATTGTATTTTCATTGAAGGCTATTTAAGCAGAAATGAGGGGAGGAGTGGCAGAGTATAATTGATTTATATCTATGCTAAGCAGAAGCTAGCAAGATATACAGCAGGATTTTTAAAAATCTCAAGATAGAAGCACTTATGGGGTATATAAATACATTTTAGACTTTAATACTCAACATATGAAAACCCTAATCTGGGGGAAAATAAACTGCAAGACACAAATGAATTGTTAAAAAACTAAAATGTACTTTCTGTTTTTTAATTGCTATTTATTTTTACAGTTTGGTTTATTTAATAAATCACCTTCACTTCTCAGTAAACTTTCACTTTGGTCAGTTTCATTTTCTAGCTTTCATTTTTTAACCTGTTTTTCTAAAATAAAAACTCCAATCTTTTCCTGCACTTAATTCTCATTACATCTCATTACATGCTTTACATTTCTTCATATGAAGTTTAGAGTGCAAGAATTATCAATTTTACATTGCCATGTGTTATAATCTATTCAGCATTATTAGCTTTTGTTTACTTTTCTATAAATTGGCTTTAATTGTTTAACTTTACCTTTTGCTTTAAAATATGCAACAATGTCTCTTTTTAGCGAAGTGGGAAACAAATTAGTTCCTATGTTCAAAAAAAAATGATAGTAGAGTATTTTGTTGTGAATGAATGAAAGAAAAAAAAAGTACTCATGATGTGCTGAGTGCTGGGAAATACAAATGCAAAAGCAAAGCCAGGTCCTGCCCTGCAGGAGCTGATATATAAATCTTTGAAAGGATTTTATTTATAAACTGGTGTAGAATGAAGCAAGCTAAACCAGATAAACAAGGACTACAACAAAATAAAATGAAAGAATGATGGCAAAAACAAACAATTCTGCATAATTAAAATGACCAAGCTGAATATCTGAGAAAATGCACTTCACTCACATGGTGGGGTGGGGATGGCACAGATCATGGGCGTGAAATATTTAATACACAGTCAGACATTATCCATATTTTGGTTAGTTTTTGCTAAACTACCTTTTTTATTCTTATTACAAACAGTGACTCACCACAGAGGTGAGTACAGAATACATTGAAAATGAGTGTCATTTAAAAACAAGAGATCAATAAAAATAAATGAGCCCTTTCTTAGAAAGCAGTACTGAAACTGTCCAAAAAGAAATAGAATAAATTCTCTCATTTGTGTTTTCATTTGCACTCAGAGAAATAGGAAGGTTGTTGTTGTTATTGTTGTTAAACTTCAGGAAAACCAGATGTCTGAATGTTTTTGTATTTCCATATACAGCAGCACTGCCAACTTAAGCTGGCATTTTTCATGTCTCATGTTGCTAAAGCTTCATATTCCATTCTAAAATTAGAGGCTGTGAATGTGAAAGATGGCTGTTACTTATTAAAAAAATACTTATTAAAAAAAAGACACTGAAGAATAGTAATTTAATACTAAGATTCTTGTCCTGTTGTTTTAGTGGTGGTTTATTTCTCCTTTCTATTTACTAAACTATAATAGAGCTCCTTATTACCTTTCATCAGAATTTCTTATCAGCACACCCAACATCCATGAAATATCAGCAGATTGGAGCCTACTCTGTAAGGGGTAGATTCATGAATGAGTGAACAAACATTTCAGATATTCCACAGGATCCATTTCTGCTTCATAAAAGCTTAAATTTAACAGCACAGCTCTCAGTGGGACAAAAAAAGAAAATTATATCATAATAGGCCAAACAAAATGTGCATTATTGCAGGCAAAGTTCCAAGGGATTAAAAAAAAAAATAGATAAAGCACTTGGAATATTTTTGATGGTAATATGTGCTAGGTAAATATACATGTATACAGATATACATATATGTATGTATATGTGTTTTTTATATATACACACATATATGTCTGTCCCAAGGAGTTCAAACATAGATCATATGTACATATATATTCATAGGAGTACATTTGTGGTAGCAAAGAACTGGAAGCAACAAATGCCCATAAATTGGGAATGACTAAACAAATTGGTACATAAATATAATAGACTCTTTCTTTCTTCCCCCCCCAAAAATCCAATTAATATGAAGAATTCAGAGAAAAAATGGAAAGATTTATATGAAATGATACAGCATGAAGTCAGCAGAACCAAAGGAACAATCTACATAATGACTAAAACAATATAAATGAAAAGAACACAAAAATTTACTATGTACTAGACCAAAGAAAAAATTAAAAAATACACATCCCTCCAGGACAAGGGTTGGGGGGAAGGCTCGGGGGAGGCTACTATGATTGCTTTGTGTGTTGAACATTGCATAGACTATCAGATCTGGTTGATGTGTTGGTAAGTTTGGCTGTATTGCATTTTCCCCCCCTCTTTTTCTTCTGTATCTTAAGAAATAGCTCACTAAGTGGGGGTGGGTTATGTATAGGTATATATTCAGAAATGAAGATAATATTTTAAAAAAAGATCCATTTTAAAGGCTTTTTAAAATAGCAAGGTATCATTTGGATGTCTTTTTTCTGTAATTATGAACTCTAGAACCAAAACAAGTTTAAAAATTACTGTACAGCAGATGGAAATTTGATTACATGATTGATTACCTAAGATTCCCTTCATGCCTATTTCCCTCCCAATATCATTTTGGAGAAGCGTGTGGAATTTCATTAGATCAAGACTGGGGAAATTCTCTGAAACAGTCACATCATCTTCTGTTTTCTGTTCATTTTGCAAGTCTTCATACCTCTCATCTAATAGAACTGCCTACAGGGGGATTGTTCTTTAGGTTGAATTACCATAGCTTGAAAGCTTAAATGTAAAGTTGCTTTTCACCATCAATCATCAAGGGTTTACTGCAACAGAGGCACTTTTAAATTACTGTTAAAAATTATTTTGTATAAGTAACAGCCATGTTCCACATTCAAAACTCAATGAATACAAAGCTGGGAAAGTAAAGACAAAAAAGCAATCCCTGTTCTGAAAGATCTTACATTGCAAGTGAAACATAAACATTTAATCATGTACAGAATTTATACAAGGTGATATATGGGGGGAATTGAGAAAGAAGACCTCATGAGGGGTCGCAAATGAGCTGGGCTTTGAAGGAAGCTAGGGCTATTAAGAGGTAGAGAGGAGAAAGTATGGGATATGGTTTGGCTGAAGGCATGGAAATAGGAAGCTGAATGTTCTGTGTTGAGGAACAGCACAAATAGGTCGGTTTGGTTGAACAGTAGAGTTCATGAAGAGGAATAATGTATAATGAGCCTGGAAAGGTAGATTGAAGCCAAGCTGCAAGGCCCTTTAGTGCCAGCAGACCTTGTATTTCATCTTAGTGGTAATAGGGAATTATGAGTCTATTGTGCAAGCAAGTGGCATGGTCAGACCTGGGCTTTGGGAAATAATTTTGGCAGCTATGCAGAGAATGACTTGAGAGGAGAGTCTTGAAGCAAGAGGGACCTGAACTGGGAAGACGATCACGTGAGTGGAGTAAGGAGGTGGCTGCGATAGATGCTGTTGATGTACAATCAGCACAAGTCAGCGACCAATTGGATGTTCTCATTTTTTGTTTTCAAAGAGGGCCAACGGCGTTACAAGGATGATGTCTTGACTTTCAAGTAAATTGAATATAAGTGAGGGAGAGCTATGCAAAGTCATAGTTGTACAACTCCATAGCCATCAGAGTCCAGCGATAAGACAAAAGTCAAGATGACTGATGATGGTCCAGGATACAGGGAGTGACCTTGGCCTTTTTAAACTAAGGTCTTTCCCAGGTCTCAGTTTGTCTGAGGCAATGCCCATTCAATGATTAAGGACTAGGTAAGAAATGAGACAAAAGATGGCCTAGTTTGCCCGTCACAGAAGAATCAGTCTGGGAATGGAAGACCTTCGGGGTTTTTGTCCTGAACAGAAAACAATTGCTATTTATACTCACTCTGAGTCATCAAAACCCAAACAATGGGCAAGAAATGCTTGGACTGGGACCTTTTATTGGCCATTTAATGAAAACCAGAGTGATTTGGTTTTAAAGGCATGGTCAAATAGCTCCATTTGAATCACAGTGGGCTTTTTCAAAGCCTATTTTTTCAGAGCTGTATTTCAAGAAATCACAAAGGACAACTACATAAGACAATTGTTCTAGCTTTTTTTTTTAATAACAAAATAAATAGGAAATTGAAAAAAAAATCTGGACCCCAAGTCTCAAGATATCTTACAAAATATAAGGAACCAAGTATTATATTCCTTTTGCCAGAGCACCCACATGTAAGAGTATGACTCCCCATGTGGACAGAGAGATCACATGTGATGAAGGAAGAAGGAAAAGGAGAAGAAGAAATAGCAGCATTGCACAACTTGAACTGGCAGGTTGAGTCCCCAGACAGCAGCTACTATTACACACAGATTATCATTCATGCTTCTCAAAGAAGGCCAATGGCATCATGGGAGTGATAACTAGATGTATGAGATGAAGGAAAATGAAGAGTCTAGGATTCCTCCAAAGTTGCAAATCTGGATGACTATAAAAATATTGATGCCCTCAACAGAAAGGGAAGTTCAGAAGAGAGTTGGGTTAATAAATTCTATTTGGCACATGATGAGTTGAATACCTATAGAACATCCAGTTTAAAATGTCCAATAAGCAGTTGGTAATGTGGGACTAGAACTCAGGAGAGACTATGACTGAATCTGTAGATCTGGGAGTCATCTGCGCAGAGATTTGAGCCCATTAGAGTTGGTGAGGTCCCCAACAAAAAGTGTAGAGAGAGGAAAATCCAGGACAAGGCCTTATGGTACACATAGGTAATGAGTACAATATGAATGATCCAGCAAAAAAACAAGAAGGAGTCATCAGATAAAGAAGAGAATGATGAGAAGGCAATTTAAAAAAAAAAACCCTGGAGGGGAGAGAGAATACAAGAGGAAAGTATCATATATTGCAAAGAAGTAAAAAAACAAAACCCTGAGGATTGAAAAGAGGCAATGAATGCATTTGCATTGGCAAGTAAGTGTTCGCTGGTAACCTTGGAGAGTTCAGCTGAATTATGAAGTCTGAAGCATTCTGATACCTTATAGAACTGGAAAGCTGGAATGGCCTTTCGAAGCCTTTGGTTGTGGTTACAGAGTATTGGCAGCCCCATTGTGAGGTCTGCTTAAATGTCAATTGGCGATAGGGATTGGCCTAACCCCCTTTGCTTTGGAATTTGGATCTGGATATGACTGTTTTACAGTCTTCTCTGCCATCATTTTATGAAGCAAAAAATGTGCTCAGTAATGTTGTCTTGGAAACTGAAAGTAAATGTTCGGCAGTTTTAGACAACCTTCATAGAGAT